TTATTACTATCTGTCAACCCTATTTTATTGTTTCCATTCCCCTTTTTGATCTGGGCTGTGGACCGATACTAGCTAAAACTATTTTTTTTTTATATGTTTAAATATTTATTTAATAATTTTATTTTTTATGGTACTCTTTGAAGCATTTGTCAATACAAAGAGAGACCTTACCATTGTGGCATTCTACCTTGGTATCACGCCAAAAATATTTTTAGAACATACCACACATCTTCTGTATATATATTTTTTTTACTATCCTAAAACGATGAGACTGGGAAAATGTCTCTCTCTTCATCAAGTGTTGAGGCAAATCTTCATTAGGCCTTCTTCCTCCTCCAGATTTCCTTCTTTCTGTCCAATCTTTTTTCCAGAATTTGCCTTATGAGGGATAAATGTGAGAATTGTTAGTGTTAGTTTTTATTAATTTAGCCTACTGTTTATGTCAACATTTAAATCAATGTTTTTTGTTTACTTACTTATATATATATATATATATATATATATATATATATATATATATATATATGTTTTTTTTTTCTTTTCTTCTTTTAACCAGATTACTTTTTCTAAAATATATATTTATATTTTATTCTTTCTATTACAACTATTTGTATTCTTGAGAAGATTTTATTTTTATCTTTTAGTGTTTCCATATTATTATTTAAATTACAGTATATAAAATTGGAAATTTTATTAAGTTAACCTACTGATAGATTTTAACATACAAAATCAATGCTTTTTCTTTACTTACTTTTGGTATTTTTTCTTTCTATGTATACAATGTTTTTTTCATTACAACTATAATTATTCTTGGGAAGATTATATTTTTAGTTCTTTACTGTATTATTATTTTGTTTGAATATATATTATTAGAATCTTTATTAAGTTAGTTTTTGGCCAGGTATGTATTTCCTTTTTTCTTTTGCACTTGTTCATCTTGTTATTCTAAAGGGATTCTGTCTCAGAATAAAGTTTATTTTTCTATTCTATAAATGGAACTTCTCCATTGTCATGTTTTGCTCAGTCACAATTTTGTGCAATTTTTTATTTTCTGTTGACATTACAGATCATGTAGATCTTTTACTGCCTTAACAAGCCTGCTCCATCTCTTCTTGTCTTGGGCTATTTCTTTTCAGTTATCTGCACGCAGCTCTATTGCATCTTTGTTGATTCTATCTATCCATATGCTTTTTGGTCTTGTACGTGGTCTTTTGCCTTTTATTGAGGCATTCATTGTTACATAGAGACTTCCAAATGGATTGCTACTGTTATAGTGCGGAGGATTTTTCTCTCAAATCTTTCAATTCTTTTTTCTAGGGTGCTGGCTAGTGCCCAGGTCTCTCAGCCACATAGTAGAAATGGTTTTATCATAGCATTTCACAGCCTTATATTAGAACTGGTTTTATCGTAGCATTGTGCACTGTTAATTTGAGATTTTTCGGGAATTCAATGCCTTTGAAAGGGATAAGAAAGTTCTGTTTGCGCTAGTTATACACTGGTCTATTTCTGACCATTGGTCATTTGTATTGTGGAATCATTGAGTTTATTGTGGAGCCAAGGTATTTTAATTTTTCTACTCTCGGGAATGATTTTCCTTCTACGCAAATCCTGTTATTGGGTTGGAATTTTCGGCTTATCATTGTTGGGGTCAGAGGTATTTCAGAATCAAAATACACGTCTTTCCCTGGTGAGTTTCAAAGGTGGGAAAATGGGAGTAGAATTAACGAAGGGAAAAAATGAGATTTGTAAACAAGAGGGAAAATACATGCACATTAAACAATATTAATTAAAAATATTCAATTAATTAAAGATAGAAAATAAAGAAATAATCCCTCTTCCGAATGTTAACAATATTTATTGAATAAAAAAAGAGATATAGAAACACATATCATGTTAAAACAAAACAAAACAAATAATGGTATGAAAGTTCCAAAATAAAAATAAAACAACATGAATAATAAAAATAACTTCTATAATTAAAAATCAATAACAAGAGAAAAGAATTAAATTAAAATTCAATTGAATGTCCAAAAAAATAATGCGGGAAAAAGTTTAATTAATTTTAAATGTCTTTTAGAGACAGTGGAGCGATGAAAACAATCTTAGTGGGAAGTAGAGAAGCACTACTTCCAACGAGGTTACCTTTTGAGGTATCAGCTGATGTCAAGTAGTCGATGGTGGAGGGAATCGATATACTCATCGATCTCGATCGATGACCGCCGATATATCCATCTGTGGTGTTCAAGATGGCACTCAATAGGCTGGTGTAATGGTTGAGCGGGAGCAGCTGGTGAGGGTGGGGGATTATCTAATGCCCAGTATCATGGACCCGATGTCAATGAAAACTGGCTCCAGACTGACTCTCGGAAGTCTTATCGTAATATTTTGGTTGACTTAATACCTAAGACTGGGTATTACTGCCGGGCTGGTGCGTAGACATAGGCGAAAATACATCGCGAATAATGCCTAATATTTAAATAATATACAATTAAATACATCAGAAAGTGTCTAGTGAGAACTCCATAATCCTCAGGATCGGAGGATATCGTATGGAGAGGTGAGGTAGAGAGAACAACTTCGACACAAAACTATTGTCGCTAACTAGTCGCAAGTTACAGGCTTACCTTAAACGTGAATAATGTGATGCATACGAGAATATCTATTTCGAAGCAGTGAGTGCAACAGCTATGGACCTGCGTGCGGAAAGATAAGATGAAAGTGATCAATGAATGAATTAACGAAACGAAATTTTGCCGATGAAAGTATAGAAGGGTTTTAAAACCTGCCGCCCACCCTAACCAAACGAACGGGATCTCAAAACAAATTAAACGGTCGGAACGATTTTAGATCATATTGTGACCCATGAACGGTGAGGGGTCGACCATTTAAGAAATCGTTACGTAGTCTGCCGCCCTCCCTGACCAAACCAAGGGCGGCAGACAGATCTAACGACAAACGGATTTAACGACTTTAGGTCACATAGCTATTTATGACTGGTGAGAGACGACCATTGAAGGAACCGTTAGTCGCCACTGCCGATGTATCAAATGAAACCGCATTCTTTGCGGACAAACTGTCTTTCAAAACATCACGGTGTGGGAGAAAGCATTTTTCGGGTGGAGTATTAGGTGATATATAGCTCTCGGGGTGAGTACGCGGAGCTGTTGCGCTATGGAGAGCAGTGGTAGAACAAGGTATGTTGAGTTAGTTTTCGTTGACGGGCAATATGGCACTGCTAGATGAACTGGAATCTGAGGTTTTAGAGGGTGAAATCGAAAACAATAACGGCGGAAGATGACGGAATCTAGTTGTTACTAAGAGTAAATGTGCTTTCTGACCTTACACCTGTACAGCTTGGCGTAGTTTTCTACTTTCGAGATTCGGTCTTCGGAGATGCCCGAGGGAACAAATACAGGAGGGAGTGATGCTTTCTATCACAATGACGGCAATATGCGCGTGAAGTACATTTATTAACGAAATGGCCGGAAGCCAAACAGTTAATGCAACGCTTAAGGACTTAAATACTTAAGGACTTTTGTTGCAGTAATAGGCTTTTGAAATGAGAACAATCGTAGACGCGGTTAGGTGCTTTGCAGATTGGTCATTTCGTCGAGCTCTGCAAGGAATTGGTGACTATCAAAACCTGCCTCGATGGTTTCCCATACCCCCATGATTCAAAGCCGAGGTTGTTACCATACAGTGACAGTCCGATTTTCCGAAGCTTCTTTTTGCTTATTTAATAAGGTGTTTTTTCCAGAATAGGATTATTAGCCCTATTTCCAACCCCCAACCTGGAGGACCAGGAGCTATGGTGTAAGGCACAGGAGTCGCTCACGTCCCTGTGAATTTTTGGGTGAAGACGTTACCATCCGCATGCGGAAATCGAACCGGCACTGTAGTGGTCGAAGTGATCGGGTAGCGCTTGCAATTTTAATTTTTTATTTATCATTAATTTTTATCTTTTTTTGGTCCCGTGAACGGGATTTGAACTCATGCCATTTTGGTTTTGATAAAAATTGAAACAAAAAGTCTCTGCACGTTGACTGTATTTTTTTTTTAGGTGCCTCAACTCTCTCGACCCATTGTGCAATGTATGAGCATTTAATACAGATAAATCTAAAATATGAAGAAATAGTTTTTTGTACCACTTCACAATTTTCTTAACTGATTCTATAGAGCTGAATATCATATTCACTCTATCCACAGCTCCAATATTTTGATGGTTCACACATTTTGGTTTTTTTATCAGTTCACCAGTTTTATAGTATTTTTTACCAGTTAAAGTGATATCCACATTCTGTATAGTGGATAACATCCAAACTTACTGTCGGTCTGACCACTTCAGAGCTAATAGTGTATCTATGGACTTGAATTTAATCTGTTTTTTTTTTTAAACGCTCCTCCATTTTCGTCAAATCTTTTCTATTTTTTCTCACTGTTCCACATGCATTGGTAACCAACAAAACAGTGGTGGGCTGGTATTGTCAACATATATGGTATGGCCACTTTTCAAATATGGCTTCAGAAGTGGCAAAACAATGTCACCCGACTTGCCAATATTTTCATTATTATGTTCGATAAGGTCTGACTTCACTCCTGTGTTTATGATGAAGTCAATAACATATCCAGTTTCGCAGTCACACAGAACGTAAGTTTTTATTCCTAATCTAACCCTTGTAGATGGAATAAATTGTTTAAAAAATAAATTCCTCTTGAATAATGAGAAAACAATTTTTTTTTTAATAATTATTGAAAACAATTATTTGTTTCCTCGAAAATATAATTTAAAATGTCCAGAGAAAAGATTATTTTAAAAAAATCTAAAATGGATGCACTCTGATTTGGCAACCAGCTTTATCATGGCCAATAAATGAATTTTAGGATCTAAATCCTTCTTCCAATCGAATTTCTTTTCCTTCTTTTGAGGTGGACTTCTTCTTCTGAAGAAGAATCTTTAGAGGGACATTCTTCTGATGGTATTTGAAATATACTTGAAGATCTCACTGGTTTATGTTCCTCAGAAATTGAAGATGTTGAGGGGACCTGATGATGTTGATGGAACTGTTGAAGTAGAAGGAAGTGATGACGTTGAAGGAATCAAAATGTATGTCTGTTCTTTCACTGTCAATCCCTTCAGAATCCGCCGGCAAGAATTCATCTCCACTTTTGGCAGTAGTAATGAATTCAGCAGCAGTAAGCCACTGTTTCTCCATTTTAATAAATAAAATAACGAAACAAAAAAAAAAGACTAACTTTTAACTAAAATAATTAATTCTATACGGCCACATAACTAACTAAACTAATCCTATTTGATTTAATTTCTAACTAAAATAACTTTTTATTTTTTTCTTATGCCAAAGTCGTTGGTCTTTTGGCCATCCGACATCTTGCTGCACAGTATAATTTAGATTTTTTAATATGCATATTTAAAAATGTTTTTTCTCTTATGTCCGTCAAGACAGGACATGTGTCTAGATGGTCTGCATCCATTGTTCCATTGTTCCCCTATCTCACCGTCGAAATTTGTTCCGTCTTTACCCAGCGCAGTGTTGATTTGGAATTCCCTTGAGTAAACCCCTGCTCCAGCATTTTTAATGGCTGATTCAGCTGATCCATCGGTATAGATATGGAGCCAATCTTGAGGAGGGTACTTTTGAGCTATAGTTTCTAGTGCTAATGCTTTTAGCTCGTATTCAGGTGTTCCTTTCTTATCCACCTTATGAAGGACTTGCAGTTCTGCATTGCATGCGTGATTGTGAATTGGTAACTGTGGATGTATAAATGGTCCCCTTTCTTCGCTGTCAAGCCCTCTTTCTTTAAGTAGTTCCATCGCCTTCAGCATGAAGAATTTTTGTGACTTGAGCCGTTGAGTGGGAATTTTTCCAAAACTCTGGGTCCATTCTTTTCATTTGCTCGTGATGGCATATTGCAGCTCACTCACACCGGTTCGAGAGGGATTCTGCTGTGGTCTGCCGTTCCATAGCTACAACAGTGGTTGAGAGCGGTTCACCCAAAATCAAACTCAGAGCTTTGTTCTGCTGGCCGTCCAATCTTTTCAAGAATGCATCTGCCGCAGTACAGATGACCTCAGATCCGTATTCCAGGACTGGACGTACGTAGGTTTTATATGCAAGGCACATCATTATCCTAGGTGGCCCCCATATCTTTCCTCCTAGGCGTTTCAGAAGCTTCAGTCTGTTTTCCCCCTTTTCCACCATCTCTTCAATTTGTCTGTTCCAGATCATTTTTTTATCTAACCTAACTCCCAGATATTTGCCTGCATAGGTTCTTGGCAAGGGAGCATTATAGATTATTTCCAGCTCGTACTGTTTGGTTGATAAGGTGAACAGTTGGAACTGTTTTCTGCGTATTTACTTCCATTTCATTACACTTGGCCCAGGTAAAAAGTCTTGCCATTGCCTCATTAATTGCTCCTTCGAGTGCTGTTATGTTGCTACTAGTCGCATATACTAGTAGATCATCAGTGAACAGTAGAGCAGGTATTCCGGGTATTCCCTCGAGTACAGCCACTAAGTCATCTATCATTATATTAAAGAGTGTGTGGCTCAAGAATCCTCAGAGATCTCAACAGATTCTTGGGGAAATCCCTGGCTACAAGTTCTGAAGCCTGAACACCAGCCATTGTAACTAAAATAACTAGACTAAACTAAATGAAATTTGTATAAACTGAGAGCAATTGAACACACGATTGTTTCACACAGAACGCATTAACAAGAATGAAAATTGTCGAGTTAGCTTGAGAAAGTTCGGAGCAGGTATTCACCCATAACAGTTCAAGAATCCTACGAGTAAAGATAAAAAAAAAAAAACCCTATGTCATCTGTAGGCTCTAGTTAAAAGCTTTATTTCACTAGAAAACAAGTAGAATATAGAAAGGTTGCACCAGCTATACTTGACATTAGCAAATGGAAAGAAAAGCAGTGGAACGGCTATAGCTGACATTAGCACTGAGGACAGGAGTGGGGAGTGCCGACTATAGCCGTAGTTAGCAGTTAAAGGGTTAAAACATGAATTAAAATAAAATTTTATGAATAAAACAAGTTCATATTTGTTTTCAGCATCTTTAAAAATCCTTAGGTAATAGTTTTCAAAGAAATAAAAGAGTAAGTTTTTTTAACCTAATGATTTTTTTCTACAATGATGAAATTCTTTCTTAGCTCATAGGTAACTCAATCAATCAGCTTCAAATTTTCATATCACATTTATATTATATGTTTTTAAACATTGAAATATAACAAATGACTCAAATCAGACTTTTAAATTTTAGTGACTTAATTTAAATTTGATTTAAAAGATGTTTTATTTATGATTGTTTTAATATTTTTATTGCCTTCTGAGTTTAGGAAATAATGTATGATTTGTCATTATCAGAAAAAAGGAAATAATCTTTACAGCAGTATAAAATATTTGAATTTGGTCAGAGTACAGCATGAGTAATTATTCTTTGAACTGGATCTAGGAAAATATGCCCACAAATTCACTCTACCCCAAAAATGAGAAAATTTCAATTTTTTTTTTTGTTTTTGTTAGTGATTTTTATTTTAAGTTTTTTTGGGGGAGGAGGGGGTTGTTTTTTTTTTTGTTTTTTTAAAGATGTAGAGATGGTTGCTCGTTGACATAATATGAGAAGGAGTTAATTGGGGGGGGGGTGCGGTAAAATAAATACTAAGTTAAAATATACTAATTATTTAATTTTTGGCAAAAATTAAATAATTACTATATTTTAATTTAGTATTTATTTGACAGCACCCCCCAATTAACTCCTCATTTGTTTTAAAAAGTTTGTTTATGCCAATTTTGGTATTAATTTTAATTCCTTTGCATTTTTTATTACACTGTTTGCATAGCAGCTTCAAAATTTGAAATTTGGCTTTCTCACATGTCTAGTTATTTTTAATAAGATTCACAATTCACAATAATTTAAAAAATATGAAAAGTTGTATTAATGTATTGTTAATAAAGATTAAATACCAATGTTGCGTATGTGTAACCTCATACTAGTTTAAAGAGATTAAATCATTTGGGCTTATGTCTTAATACAGTTTACTGTACATTGAATTGTTAAAATAATAATTAATTCTCACTTAGAAACGTTAAGATTTTCATTCTAATGGTAAAAAAGAATGTATGGGGTTTTTATTTAAATGTGAATTAAATGTATTACAATTAAATGTAAAGCCTCATGGATTTACTTTTCTTGTTTTTGGAGTATGCTCCATTTTTATTGTATTAACATATATTGTTTTTATTTTTAAAATATATTTTTAAAAACCAAGTTTGAATTCATTCTTTTGATAGTGGTAAAAATTTGTTGATTTCATACATAGATGTGCAAATGCCAATGTGGGTACAGAGTAATGAGTATTTTACTCAAATATTGACCTTCCCCATTCTGAGTATTTTAATCAAATGCTGACCTGCCCCACTTAGAGTACTTTACTCATGGCACATTATAAATTATAGTTTCATGTACCAGATGCCCATATATGTATAAATATATAAATTATATTGATTGATGTACTCTTGTTCTAATTACATAAATATTGTTAATTAATATAGACTTTAAATTGTTTAACTCACCACTGATACCAAATTTTGGATTTCCTTTTTAAATAATATCAACATTAGGATCACGATATAAGTATATATTTATTTAAAATTTTCGTATACAGTTATAAAATTATAGTATATTTTTGAAGACATATTTTTTTTTAAATAAACTCCATCTCAAGATTACGCCAAAGTGTTTATATTTAATTAAGTGTTTTGGATTTCTTGGATATAAGGATTTGTTTATATGTTTTTAGAGCCTTAGATTTTGAAAATATCTCCATTTCAAGGTTATACCACTGCTTTTAGACTTTTCCAAATAGTTTTTTGGATTTCTTCGCTATAGAAATAGAAATTGAAATAAATTTTATTCTGGGACAAAGTCCCCTTAGAATAACAATAATGAACAGTTACAAGAGAAAAAATACATATCTGGCCAAAAACTAACTTAATTAAGATTCTAACAATATATACATCAATTTAAATAATAGCATGTACACAACTAAAAAATAAAATGAAATCTTCTGAAGAATACTTATTAGTTGTAATGGGGAAAAAAATTACATATATAGAAATAAAAAGCAAAATCTCCAGAAAGGAAAAAATATCAAAAGTAAATAAAGAAAAAGTATTGACTTTTTATGTTAAAACATAAACAGTTAGAACATAAAGAATATATACATAGCTGAAAGACATTAATGAAAGCAGATGAGCAGTGATATCACAATATTGCATTATTGTGGCATAAGAGTAAGTAGATAAATACAATTGGAAAGGGGCATTAAATTAATTTTTTGAGAAAACCATTGTAGCAACAAAAAGAGAAAAAAAATACTAACTAAAAGAAAATAAATTATTGTATGAATGAGAAATGTTTTATTAAATATGCATTAATTATAAATTTCCAAAATACACAGAACATTTATATAGCATGATTATTTGTCTGCCAGAAGAAAATAAATTATTAAATATGTTACTTAAGAACTTTAAATGAATACTCACAATAATGGTATTGTAAACTATATACAAAAACGTAGGTTAAGAGCTGAAAAGATATAAATATATACTTATTGAGGTTATACTTATAGGCTAGGCATATTAGCAAAAAAAAAAAAAATGGGGGCTCAGAAACAAGTTTTGGTATAATTTTAATTTTCTCACCCTTTATGTTTTTTCGGTCGCTGAATACGAATTTGAAGTTTGCTGGCAAAAATTTTGCCCGGAACTTGGTTTTTTGACCAAATTTTGGCACTTTTTTCAGTTTTCGGCCTATATCTCAAAAATGAAAGGGACCATATTTTCATATCCGGTGAAATTTATCGATTACATGGAAGAAACGCCCTTGCTGTGATTCTTAACTATTTAACAATTGATTACATCATACAATTTATGTGATATAACAGTTTTTCCCGAGATTTACCAGTGTAAATAATTAATAATACAATATGTAACTTGATCTTGACATATTTCATAAAATAAATTTACACAAGTAAATTGGGCGACAAGATATATGAACTAAGAAAAGATATATGTGTTTCTTTGAGTTTTATTCTTGGCTTGGTTAGGTTTCCCCTATCTGAAAAATGACTGTAATATCTCCGTAGTAATAACCTTATAGGTAACTGCAAGACTTTGCTTGACT